GCAGAGGAAAACCTATTCGTGCTAGGTCCATTTCTTGGCTCTGCGTTGTTTACGATCGTATATAATATATCCGACGTTATGGACCCTTGGCCCTTTTTGAAATCGCAGACCTTGAAGTCTCCCTGGATGCAAGTTTAGGAGTTAAGGCTAAGACGGTTAACCCTAACACATACGATTTTCGAGGCCCGGTTCCTTAGGGGTTGGGAGAAGTCTTGGGAAGGCCAGAGTAGAAGGAAGAATGTATTGTGTACACAACAATTAAGAGAAAGTGGCCAATCGGTCCGGCATGGACGTGAGAGCCGCGTGAGCGCGCGGCTTCACGCACGTCCCGCTCAGAGCGGATTTCCAAATGTTGTCTCACGGCAGTCATCCCTGGCGGCCGCCAAATGCTCGCTTTGTCTCGGCAGACTGGTGGTGATTGGTTGCACAGCGCGAAGTGGGCACAGGCAAGACTGGGTGTGTCAGTAAGTCGCTCAGACCTTCGGGGATAGACAGACCAGGGACCGGCCGTTAGCCTAACCGCAGCGTTGGCGTGATGAGTCAACAGTTGCGTTAAAGTCCACTACACAAGCACGTCGGGAGTTACACAAAAACACCCATATTGTTTCTTTGAACATACTTGGTCATAAGGATAGCTGGAGGTTTCGTTACTTTCCGTAGCTTAGGTACGATCTGAGTTTTTTTGAATTCCATTTTAGTGGGAAACCCACCTTCACGTACTACCAATGTCTGGCGTGTACCTGACGGATTTTGCCCATCGGTAACGTGTAATTGGCTAATGTCTTTGCTTGCGTGACTGTAACTTTGAGTCCGCGACACTGCATAGTAAAATGGTTTGCGTATCAGCCCGTTCATTGAATAGACCGGGTTCGAGTCCCGGCCACAACGGACTTCTGCTGACGTTTGAATCCTGCCCAAGCTCGATGCTCGTATCTGTTGCTGAAGCATTCCGTTTATGGCGCTTGGAAACCATATTCTTCTTTGGTTTGGCCTTGTCTTGTTCTTTCGGTAGATAGATGCCTGAAATAATTAATAGCTTCATGTTTTATCACAGTTTCCAAATGTAGGACTTTCTGAACGACAGTTGAATATGCAGCACAACCTTCTGAAACACGATTTACCGGTCTTGACCCATTTACTCTGAATTACAGACAGCTACGCTGTGACCTAATACAGGCAATAGGAAAATTCTTCTTCTCTAAGAGAGTAATTCAGGTATGGAATGCTCTGACAGCGAACATTGTCATCTCCCCATATGTGGAAACGTTAAAGA